CATGCCTGCCTGGCCCCCCTGCCCATCTGGCACTCTGCCCCCTCCCTGCCTGGTGCCCCTCCCCTTGCCAGGCACCCCTACCTTCCTGCCACTTCCCTGCCACCAGTGTTCCCTGTAGCAGCCCAGGAAAGATTCAGATGCCTCCCAGACCATTAGCCAAGCACCTAGCGCCATCCACATGTGTTTCTATTGGTGGTGCACACCCACACATGCCTTGGTGCATATAACGTTTATTCTGCACTTGTCTAGCCAAAAAAAAAAAAATAGAGGGAACACCTGCCCCCCCAGCTGACCTGTGCCTGCCTATCCTGGCACCTGTGCCTTGCACCCCACCCCCTGCCTGCCCCCTCGTTGCCTGGTACCTCTCCTGCTGCCTGCCTGTCCCTTACCTGCCTGGCATCCCCTGCCTCCTGTGCCCTGATTGCCCGCCAGCCTGGCACTCCTCGCTGCACTCTACCAACCAGCTTGGAGCCCCACCCTTGCCACCTGCACCCTGCCTAGTATCACTCTGTGCCTGCCCGGCACCCCACTCCCACTATCTGTCCTGCCTGGCACTACCCCCTGCCGTTTGCCTTGCCCCCTGCCTGCCTGGGACCAAGCGCTCACCAACTGATCCATGCATGACTACCTCTTGCCCAGCAGACTGGCACCCTGCACTCACCACTAGTGCCCTGTCTGCCCACTGCTTACCTGCCACCCCCTACCTGCCTGGAATCTTTAGTGCCCTGACAGCCTGGCATGACTCTGGCTCCTGCCCCCGCCTCCCCGGCTCCTGGAGAGCACTCTGCCTGCTCGCCAGCCTGGCACCCACCCTGCACAGGGGCCTCCCTCCCAGCTTGGCATCCCCTGACATCGCTACCCTGCATGCCATGAACAGCACATTGTCTTCCTGCCCCTTGCCAGCTTGGTATCCCTCCCCCACCCTAGGCACCCTGCAGCAGTGCCCTGCCTGCCTCTTGCCAGCCTGCCCACCCACCCTTGGCCAGCGCCCTGCCTTCCTTCCCCTTGGCAGCTTGGCACCCCACCATCATCTGTGCCCTCTGGCAGCACCCTGCCATCCTGTGCCCTCCAAGAGCACCCTGCCAGCCTGGCTCCGGGCAGCACCCATCCACTCTGCTCCCCTGACCCTCTTGTGGGCAGTCCCAAGCCCAGCCTGCCCTTGGTCGCACTGCAGTTGCCCCCTACACCCTGCTGCTGTTGCCCCTCCCCAGGGCACTCCTCCTCCTGTGGTAGCTCTGAATCCAGACCAGCCCTTTCGCCTGTAGGAAGCGTCTCTCCCTTTTCCAGTAACCCCCCTTCTCTGCCTCGCCCCAGGAGGGATTGGCTGTGTGCTGCTGAACTACCGCAATGAAGACAGCTGCAGCTTGGAGAGCAATAGCAGCAGCGCCACCAGCACGAGAGAGGCTGAGCCAAGCGACCCCCCGACTCCTCAGCCAGCAGCTGAGATCAGGAACACGGAGGGGACCCTACTGGACTTGGCCCTGAAGCGCCCAGTGGTCAGATCAAAAATCAAGGTACAGAACAAGTCCCTGGTGCCAGCCTCCCCTAATATGACCCCCAGGGGGCACAGCCAACCTGGTGACAGGCCCCTGCTAACTGAGGAACACAGGCTCTGATTCGTCAAGGTATTTAGGCACCTGACTCCCATTGAAGTTAGGCACCTTGGATGATCTCGATCATCCCACCTGTCACTACCATACATCTATATATGGGGGGTGCTGCGCACGGGTTGGGGACAAATTCCACATCTGCCCAGGACTTGCAATTTGGGTGGGGGAGCAAAGCCAATCTATCCCCAGAAATGCCCTGAAAATGGCCTTTCAGTTAAATACAAAGCTCCCCCACCGCTCAAAAACTGTAGCTAAAAGTCTTAATCAGCCTAGGGGATTTAGACACATCCCTTCTGCTGAAATGTATGAATTGTCTGTTACAGCAGAACCTCAGAGTTACAAACACCGGCAGAATAGAGGCTGTAACACTGAACTCTTTGTAACTCTGAACTAAACTGTATGGTGGTTCTTTCAAAAGTTTACAGCTGAACAGGGTCTTCATACAGCTTTGAAACTTTTCCACACAGAAGAAAAGTGCCACTTTCTTCTTACTTTTGTTAATAGTTTATGTTTAATGCAGGACTGTTCTCTATTAATTTTTTTATTGTTGATTATGGCTCTCAGTGGGAAGCCAGAAAATCCAACAAGAAAGAGGGGTAGCTGTAGGATGACTTGGAAGTGGACAATTATCAACAACATAGAAAAAATTAATTTGAAATGGGAGGACTTAGATCTCATGGCAGCTGATAAGCAAGTGTGGAGAATGTGGGTGGCTCATTGTGCTGAAAAGCAGGGGATGAAGTAAGGTCTAAGGTAAAGTCTCCGCTGCTGCCTGATTGTGTAGTTCTGGTTCCAAATGGTTGGTTGACTGGTCGGTTTGTAACCCGGGCTCATAACTCTTAAATTCTACTGCAAATAACTATTGAAAAATTCAGCCAGTGTGTGTGCTTGGTGTGTACACAGGTACACCCGTATTTTTGGGGCCTGACGGAGTCAAACCCCAGCTGTCTCCATTCCTGTGAGGCACAGCCGGTGGATTTCAGCAGAAAGGGCAAGACAGGGAAAGGGCAATTGACTGAGCCCTCTTGTCTGGTGTGAAAGCCGTTCAGAGCGAATGAGTCCAGCCCACTGCTAAGCCATCATTGCAAGTGTAGCATGGACCGGAAGACTAGGGTGAAAAATACAATCCAGCCCAATCCATCTTCCCCTGATGTCAATGGAGATGTTCCCTTGACTGCAGTGGAGGGTGGCTCAATGCCATAGGCTAGGTCTCTGCAAGGCAATAATAGGTGTGTTTTTACAATGAGATGGCGAACATGAAAAACCCTGATGTAGTCAAGGGAAGCTGTAGTGCTACCTCGATGGAACTGCTGTAACTTCCTGTATCTATGTAGGGCTTAACAATATTAGCTATCACATGTTAGTACAGGTTGAACCTCTCTAGTCCAGAACTCTCTGGTCCGGCAACGTCCGTGGCCCAGCATGATTTTGGTTAGCTGGATGTTCAATTTTCATAGGCATGGCCAAGTTTCCCACGGTCTCATAAAGTTTGTTTATAGCCATCAGTTCTGGCTCTCAGTGTTCGGTGCTGTTATTTTGCAGTAATTTACCCCTATATTTATTCTAACAGCCCAGTAAGCAGTGGAAGTGTTGGTAAAGCTGCTAGACAATATTGATCTCCTGTGGTCTGGAAAATTCTCTGGTTCGGAACTGATTGGGTCCCGAGGATGCCAAGCTAGAGAGTTTCAACCTGTAGTGAATTATAACAACCTCCCTACTATATTTCTAGTGTACTCATAGCCACAGTGAGAGTGAGTGAGAGGCATCACTATTCTTGCCCTCTATAGTTCCATACGTGCCCCCTATAGATTTTCAAAATTCCCTGTTTTTGCATTACTTTCCATTGAGCCAGGACTTGCTAGCATTGCTTTGCTACGGCTGACAATAATGAGTGTGAGGCCAAATAGCCAGGGCTCAGGAAAACCTAATTCTCTGCCTCTTCCTTATTATTTAGTTGTGCTATGATCAAACACAAAATAGCTTTGTATTGCCTTAAGGCCTGATTCTGCCATGTACTCTGTGCAGGTCGAGCCTCATGCTGGAACAGAGCTGATTGCAGGATATAGGACTCTTAGGGTACATCTAGACTACAGGCTTTTGTCGACAGAAGTTTTGTCGACAGATACTGTCGACAAAACTTCTGTCGACAAAAGCCTGTAGTCTAGATGTACCCTAAGAGTCCTATATCCTGCAATCAGCTCTGTTCCAGCATGAGGCTCGACCTGCACAGAGTACATGGCAGAATCAGGCCTTAAGGCAATACAAAGCTATTTTGTGTTTGATCATAGCACAACTAAATAATAAGGAAGAGGCAGAGAATTAGGTTTTCCTGAGCCCTGGCTATTTGGCCTCACACTCATTATTGTCAGCCGTAGCAAAGCAATGCTAGCAAGTCCTGGCTCAATGGATAGGAAGAATAGAATCAACAGGGAAGTTATTTTTTGCTCAAACTGTGGAATTTCAATGAGGATGTATTTTGCTCACTAGTTTACTGCTGTTCCTTATATTTTAATCTTGGATATTGTTAAAGTCACAGGTGAGATCATGGACAAATACATATCGTTTTAGTAACCTAGTTTCTGCAGAATATCTCCAAGTTCTCTAGAAACACCGCAGATTCTGCTTTGTGACTAGTTTATCAGAGGCAGCAAGTGGGGGGGGAATAGGAACTGGTGCTGGGGGGAGCCAGCTTAAAAGTAGGTTCTTAGAAGCCAGTTCCCCTTCCCCCCCCCAGCAACGTTTCTGTAGGGGGCAGTGGAGGTAGAGGCATAGTGGGGGATCAGGACGAGCCGTGAATCAACTGATTCTTGGCTCGTGCCTGGTCCCAAACACCACGATTCTGCTTTTTAAATGTATTAAGAGCCTCCAGACAATCAGCTATCCCAGCTCGCCTGGTGGCACTTCATACATTTAAAAGGTAGAGCCACAGTGAGGTTAGCTCCTGAGGCTGGGAGCTAACTCTGCAGTTTCTTCCCTTATCGACTAGTCGATGGAAATTCCGTCAACTAGTTGATACTCGCACCCTGTGTTTTATAGAACCTCTACACTGTGATAGACCCGGGGCACACAGTGGCTGGCACTGGTCAGCTGACTTGGGTGTCTGGGGCTAGACAATGCCGATACGATACAGACATTCTGGCTCCAGTTCTGGGATGCTCCTCCCATGTGGAGTCTTAGATCCCAGGTTCTCTCCCCAGCCTGAATATCTAAACTGCAGCTGTATAACTCTCCCTTCCTCCGTGAGCCTGAGTCGCCTGGCCCAGGCCAGCTGCAGGTCTTTTACTGCAGTATAGACATCTCCTGAATGGCTAGCGGCAAGCACTGGGAGCTCTCTAAATAATGTTTTACTGCCAGCATAATCAAAACATTGAGCCTTTCCCATAAGGGACTGGCTTCCAAATGGCTGAGTCACCAGCATGGGGTCCAATCACTTCAGATAATCCCATTAGCTTGACCTTTTTTGTATTAGAATCAAGAATGAAAAGATTAGCCCACAGTAAGACTTTCCAATGAATTAACAGACAAGTGAGATGAACAGGGGGGAAGACCCTTCTATTGTTTCAGTCTCTGCAGAGTCAACACAACAGCATGCTGGTTTGCTTTGTAAGGGTTTTCTTCCCAACCAAACCTCTGGCAACTTTGTTGGTACACAAATCTTCTGTCCCTCAGTAAGAGGAAGTTCTTTGAGATAAACTGAAAGCTTGTTTATACTGGAAAGCTGCATTGATTTCACTCAAGGGCTGTGTCTAGACTGGCAAGTTTTTCCGCAAAATCATCTGCTTTTGCAGAAAAACTTGCCAGCTGTCTACACTGGCCGCTTGAATTTCCGCAAAAGCACTGACGATCTCATGTAAGATTGTCAGTGCTTTTGCGGAAATACTATGCTGCTCCTGTTCGGGCAAAAGTCTTTTTCCGAAAAACTTTTGCGCAAAAGGGCCAGTGTAGACAGCAGAGATTTGTTTTCCGCAAAAAAGCCCCGATCGCAAAAATGGCGATCGGGGCTTTTTTGTGCAAAACTGCGTCTAGATTGGCCACGGACGCTTTTCCGCAAAAAGTGCTTTTGCGGAAAAGCGTCCTGCCAATCTAGATGCGCTTTTCCGAAAATGCTTTTAACGGAAAACTTTTCCGTTAAAAGCATTTCCGGAAAATCATTCCAGTGTAGACATAGCCAAGGAGTGATTCTAAACTGATTTAGGGCTCGTCTATATGGGGAAGGTTTTTTGGTGTAAATGAAGATGTTAATTCCAATAGATTTGATTATACTCTCAGAGCCTCTATGTAGATGCTCTTATTCTGGGATAAGTGTGGCTGGTTTTGTGTTTGTGGTTTCATTTATGTTGCTTGCGAAGGGGGTTAAGTTAGACTGAAAATAACCTGGTAGCAGAGGGCTGAAGTGTGCTTTATCTAGGGGGGTTCTATAATTCTAACTGGTAACATTTTCCTGGGATGACAAGACCTTAGTATTAACAGACATAACTGTCTCATGGAGACAAGAATCAAGGTCTCAATTCAGCAAAATGCCTTGCTTAGCTAAGCATGTGAAGAATCCTATTGAAGCCAAAGGCTTACTTATAGGCTCACAGCACTGGTCCCCAACCTTTTGGGGCTGGGCCGGCCATGCGCCGCGTGCCCGGGGGGAGGGAGGACGCCCATGCGCCCAGGGCCGGCCCCGATCACTCGGTGGGCGCCCATAAATGCCCCGGCGGGCGTCATGGCACCCACGGGCACTGCGTTGGGGACCACTGGTACAGTAAAGCACGTGCTGGCGTACTTGGCTGGATCTTTTGCATGTTTACATTTTTTATCACGACTGCGTGTTTCTGTTATCCCAGTTTAGGACTTATGTGACAGGTTCCCTTTCGTCCTTTGGAAAACCCCCGAGTTTGCTCCTTGTCCATTGAATTGAGCTATGGACTTTGCCCAAAGAAGCAGTGGAACTCTTAAGGTCTGTGTGGACCTCAGGAGAACCACTGAAGTCTATGATCCATGCCTCAGAGTGTGTAACACCTAGACAATTTCTTGTGGAAATCGAGGGAGTCTCCTTCATTTCTCCCCCTCCAACTCAATGTTGAGATAGCTGTATCTCTTCCAACTCTCTCTCACCTCCCCCCCTCAAATACAAAAAATCCCAGATAAGTTTTAGGAATCCTGCTCTCTTCCATATCCTATCATTCAGTCTGTCCTTTCTCATATAAGTTTGAACAAGAGATTGAAATTCACGTAGCACCCTTAACTCTGACCCCTACAAGTATGAGCCTATCTCTGCAGCTCATTTTATTAAATATATCCAGAATTCCACGAAAATGTCTGCTGTTGATTCTGCAGAATTCTTAACTCTGAGCAATTAAAACTTTTTTATATACGTGTAATCCTGAGCGGGTGTAAATTGGTGGCACTCCCCTGACTTAAATGGAGAGAAGCTGATTGACATCAGCTGAAAATATGGCCCATCTGGAATAATTTCCCACATCTATGTTATTAAGATGCAATTCTGCTAACTATAATAACCCGCAGACTCAAAACAACTGCAACTCTTTTAGTGGGATCTGTAGCGTTTGGAAAGAGTTCTTTATTAAAATGGTGCTGTTGAAACAAACCCTTGGACACAGGATGTGTTAATAGATAGGGGCTAATGCAGAATTAGCATACTGTCAATGGGAGCTGGATACTAGCCATCCTTTGTGCCTTTGAAAATCAGGTCTTGGGTACATTTGGGCAGATCATTTGGTGTATTGTGAAATGACACTTTCCATGGTCAGATCCAGGCTGTGACACTGATAATGCAGACGTGGGGAGGGCAAATGTAACACAGGGAAGCCATATTGTGTTTGGCTGTGATGCAACGGACCTCCTGCCCTAATGTTTTAGGAGATATAAGCCCTGATGAGGCAGGGAGGTTGATGCAGGGAACATGGCTACAAGGGGTTGGTCTCATATTGCCGGGGGGAGCTATGACCTCAGGCTGTACTGTTTGCAATAATATTCACTTTCCCCTGGATTTTTACCATGAGGATTTTTTCCACTCTGCAGAGAGCAACCCCCCCGTTCTTTGCCTGTCAACCCAGGATCAACCATGTTTTATTTCCGTCCATTAGTTCACAACCGGCACGTGCGACGCTGCAGCGCTGCACAATTGCGAGCTGTGCGGCAAAGGCTTTCGCTTGCAGCGGATGCTCAACCGCCACGTGAAATGTCACAGCCAAGTGAAGCGACACCTGTGCACCTTCTGCGGCAAAGGGTTCAACGACACCTTTGATCTGAAGAGGCACATCAGGACCCATACAGGTGAGTGGCTGGTCTGCCACCTTGCCAGGTGGAGATCCTATTTGAAAACTAGAGTGTGCTGCCTCCTAGAGGCTAGAGAAAGCAGCGTCTGGGTGAATTCCCTAGGGGTGCAATTTCACCGACTAGGATTTTTATATTCGGTACAAACTCCAGTTTGGTTTGGTTGATTGGTTCCGTCCTACTCTGCCTCCCCTCTGGACTGGCTGGCTTGAAGGAAGATGGGCAGCAAGTCTGACCTCTCATTGCCCTGAGCACAGACGCCCCCCAGAGCCAGCTGTGTGGCAGAATCACTCTGCTATTCCACAGAAATTGCATCCATTGAACGAAGGGCTTGGGCAGACATGGAAGGCCCCAAAGGCTGTGTGGACGTTCTTGTGCCCGTTTATCTTCAGTTAGGAACAGGATTAAGCTGAACCAAAACATGCCGCTGTCAGGCTGGAATGAGTGTGTTCACACCAGGGTTTGCACCCACTGATGTCAACCAGTGCGAGGGTTTGTACAGAGGGAGCCTAACTTCCTATAAATCCTTCTGTGCACGCTCTTGTCAGAGTGGCAGATAAGGGAACTAAGCCAAACCCATACGGATGGCTTGGTTTGAAGTGTGTCCCCAAGAAGGCTGCTCTGGTTTAACTACATCAATCTAGTCGCATCAGTGCAATTTCTGGGGCACTAGACTCCCGACTCGTCACTGTTCCCTGCTGCTATCTCCGACAGCTTTTCATGCACACATGGAAGATCCCACAGCACTTTTCAGATAGAAAGACCGGTATTTTGGCCAACATTTCCTCAGTACATTAGATGTCGGTGTCTGTGCGGGAATGATGGGTAAGCCATAAATGCCACGTTAGCCAGATGCTGGAGGTGCATTCTTGAGTTATCCTATGAAACAGGGGTCATTGTAAATCAGCAGCATTTCGACACCGAGTGACTGCCCAGCATGCTCCCTGATAGCTCAGGACCATCCCCGTTGTGTGTATGGTTTTCCTAAGCACAGAACCATTAGCCGGGTACCCCACTGCACCTCCAGCGTCTGGCTAACGTGGCATTTATGGCTTACCCATCATTCCCGCACAGACACCGACATCTAATGTACTGAGGAAATGTTGGCCAAAATACCGGTCTTTCTATCTGAAAAGTGCTGTGGGATCTTCCATGTGTGCATGAAAAGCTGTCGGAGATAGCAGCAGGGAACAGAATTTTGAGACAAACTGTCAGGTTCAATTTGGCCCCGAGGTTAGATTGGGTAAAAACAAGCTTTTAATAAGAACTAAAACAGTTTAAAGCAGCAGACACATGTCCATATGTAACATACTGGAACGTCTCAGTGAAACTATCGTTCCCTGCTGTGCTTCCGAGCAAAACTTTGCTGCTCTGTAATAATGCCTGAGAGCAGGCACGTGAAACTGACTTGTCTCTTCCCACTGCCTGAGCTGAATTGAACATAAAAAGTAACCAGCCTAAACTCATCTTGTTAAATCAAAGGCATTATTGCTAAAAGAGGTCAGTTTTGTTTCCTCCGATTCGATTTTAAACTTGGCCGTTTTCATAGAATTCTAGGGTTGGAAGAGACGTCAGGAGGTTGTCAAGTCCGACCTCCTTGTTAAAAGCAGGACCAATCCCAACTAAACCATCCCAGCCACGGGCTTTGTCAAGCCAGGACTTCAAAACCTCTAGGAATGGAAATTCCACCACCTCCCTAGGGAACCCATCCCAGTGCTTCCCACCCTCCTAGGGAAATAGTTTATCCTAATATTCAACCTAGATCTCCCCACTGCAACTTGAGTTCATTGCTCCTCGTTCTGTCGTCTGTCACCTCTGTGAACAGCCTCTCTCCAGCCTCTTTGGAACCTCCCTTCAGGTGGTTGAAGGCTGCTATCAAATCCTCCCTCACTCTTCTCTTCTGCAGACTAATTGCAACATGCAGGACTATGCAGCACTTTAAAGACTAACAAGATGGTTTATTAAGTGATGAGCTTTCGTGGGCCAGACCCACTTCCTCAGATCAAATAGTGGAAGATTTTCTTCCACTATTTGATCTGAGGAAGTGGGTCTGGCCCACGAAAGCTCATCACTTAATAAACCATCTTGTTAGTCTTTAAAGTGCTGCATAGTCCTGCATGTTGCAATTAGTCTGCAGAAGAGAAGAGTGCAACAAGCTTTCATGGAAATTGTGAAAAATTCACACACACCCTACCCCCCCACGTGTGGTAGTTATGCTGCCCTAACTCCACAGTTTAAAGCCTTCTAGGTTGATGAAAGGATCGGTAGATCTAGCTACCATTGCTTGGGGGGATGGACTATCTACAGCACGGTTTCCCAAACCTTTTCAGCCACAGAGCCTGTATGGACTCCTGAACATTTGGTGGAGCCCATAAAATATCAGGATTTTTAATTCAATAGGTACCCAAATAAATAGACCAATTTTTTAAATTCTATTTTCATTTCTTTATAAATTCTTTTTTTTTTCTCTCAAGAAAACCATCAGAAAATTAGTAACAAAATAACAGGGTGTCACATCCGTCATTAATATTTTCTTGCAGAGTCACTGGATTCATTGCATGGAGCGCTATTTGGAAACCCTGACCTAGAGCAACGGAAAAATCCCTTGTATCACGACAGGAAGTGTCTATACAATGATGCTACAGTGGCATAGCTAAAGCGCTTCTGCTGTTTCAGTGTTGCACCTGTAGTGGAGATAGGGCCTGACTGCTAGGATTGGGACAAACTTTTTAACACTATCAGAGAAATATGTGTTTGAGAATCTCCCTCTTCCAGCCTCAAACTAGCTGGATGATTCTTCTAAAATGATTCAGAAGTTGAGTCATCAACAGTGCTCAATTCGATTACAAAGCTGCTGTCCCTTCATCTGAATGCGGGAATTTTACTCCTCTTTTCATTTTGTTTTTGTCCAGCTGCAGCAGGAAAGCCCTGAGCATACAGACTGTTTTGCACTTGTGTCTAAATATTTGCAGAATCAGAAAGAGTAAATGCAAAGTTGCACCAGTTTACCTGAAGTTGGAAATTTAGGAAAATAGAACAGCTGTTTTGTAAATTCCCACCTGTAGACAGACACATAATCTTGAATTGATTTTGTTAAGCCAGTCTCGTGCATATGGACATTCAGACCAATTGAAACCTCACTTATACAGGTTGAACCTCTGTAGTCCAGCAGCATCCATGATTAGGCACGATTTTAGCTAGTCGAATGCCCACTTATCATAGTGTGTAACCAACTTTGCTGCAGTCCCATTAAGTCTGTTTACAGCCACCAGTCCTGGCTCTCCGGATTCTGTGCTGTTACTTAGCTCTAGTTTACCCCAAAACGTCTTCGAAGAGCCCAGTAAGTGGTGGACGTGTTGGTAATACTGCCAGACAATATTGACCTCCCGTAGTCTGGCAAATTCTCTGGTTCAGTTCCGATCAGGTCCCAAGGGTGCTGCCCTAGAGAGTTCAGTCTGAATCAGTTTAGCCTGCATCACTAAATTCAAGTCTCAAACTAAACTGATATAACTGCTCCAAAAAACAGTCTGGGAATGTCCACACAGAGAATTGAACTGCTTTAATTACATTATTTTTTAAACCGATTAAGTGAAACCAGTTCAACTTCTGAACTAAGTGGTCTGGATTAGCCCTGAGCAGCCACCAATCCCGATGAGAGTCAGTGGCCCAGCACTTTGGAAAGACAGGCAATGTAGTTGGTATTGCCAATGCCATGTGCTCAAAACGCGTGAGCCAGGGCCCTGAAAATCATGAGATTGGGTTAAAAATCAAGTGGTTTTATTTTTTAAAGTGAGTGATTTTGATTTGTCTTCTGGGTTTTGAGTCGTTTAGGGAAAACATTTTCAGGTTTTTCTCAGCATTCATGAAAACTGAAAACATAGGGTGAAACTGTGGACCCATCAAAGTCATAAGAACATAAAAATGGCCATACTGGGTCAGACCAAAGGTCCATCTAGCCCAGTGTCCTGTCCTCCGATAGTGGCCAAAGCCAGATGCCCTAGAGGGAGTGAACAGAAGAGGGAATCATCAAGTGATCCCCTATCATCCATTTCCAGCCTCTGACAAATGGCAGCCAGGGACACTATCCCTGCCCATCCTGGCTAATAGCCATTGATGGACCTATGCTCCTCCTCTGGCAAGGAGTTCCACAGGTTGACTGTGTGTTACATGAAGAAGTACTTCCTTTTTTTGTTTTAAACCTGCTACCCATTGATTTCATTTGGTGACCTCTGGTTCTTATGTTATGGGAACAAGTAAATCACTTTTCCTTATCACTTCCTCCACACCAGACATGATTTTATAGACCTCAATCATATCCTCCCTTAGTCTCCTCTTTTCTATGCTGAAAAGTCCTAGTCGGATTGTCTCTCCTCATGGCAGCTATTCCAAACCCCTAATATCTCAATATCATGAGAGTCAGCAACTCTATAAATTTAGGACAGTGAGTCAAGAAAGCCTCCCTGTTCAGCTTAAACATGTGCGTAGGGCTCATTGAAACACTTTTGTGCGTTCCTGAACCAGGCTACTACAAACTTAAGACACTTTGCTCGAGACACGCATTTCAGAAAATCTTTAGCCTAGGAAAGTGTAAATATTTATTTAGCTTGTAAGCAGTTCAGAGCAGGGACCATCTCTTAATCCCTGTTTGCAGCCTAGTGCAATGGGGCTGTTTCTCTTGGTTGGTCCCAAAGGGTTATTACAAGACATGTGATTCATAATCATTAATAACAAGTAATGTCTTCTGACCTTGTAGGAATCCGTCCTTACAAATGTGAGATCTGCAACAAGGCCTTTACCCAGCGATGTTCTCTGGAATCTCATCTCAAAAAGATCCATGGGGTACAGCAGCAATATGCCTACAAACAGCGGCGCGATAAACTTTATGTCTGCGAAGACTGTGGCTACACGGGCCCGACGCAAGAGGACTTGTATCTGCATGTCAATAACGCCCACCCTGGGAGTGCTTTCCTCAAGAAAACCTCTAAAAAGCTGGCAGCTGTCTTACAGAATAAACTGACCTCTGTCCTACAGAGGAGCCCTGAAGACCATGAGGAAGACGAGTAACACAGTGGATTGCAATGGTCATATGCAATGAAGTTTACATTTAGGATATTTTTTTCAACAGCTTTAAAAGGGATCCGTGTAATACCAGGAATCTTATCCTTTTGGTGATAACAGGCTGTGGATGTTAGAGCCTCAGTGTGAAAAAAAATGTTCAGCTTAATGAAAATACCAGCCTTTTTTAACCATGAGGATAAAAGGAAAACTTTGGCCCTCTGAATAGAGCCCTGCGCTGGTATTTGGGTGACTTCACTTCAGTTGCCAGCTCTGCCACTGGCCTGCTGTGTAATAATGGGCAAGTCACCTTGTCATTCTGTGACTCAGTTTCCCCATCTGTATGATGGGGATAACGATACTGATAAGCTTTGTAAGGTGCTTTGAGATATGTGGATGAAAAGTGCTAGGTCATAGCTAAATATCATTAATGTTATTCCTAGGTGAAAGTCTACAGTAAGAGGATGTTAAGGATGAGAGTATGTATCATAAGGTTAAAAATGCACAATCAATGCACCTGAGTAACCTTAACTCTGCCCTGTAGTGACACCACGCAATAACCTGGTGATTACAGTTAGAGTTGTTAAGATTTGTAATCCCAGGTTGGAAAAAGAAATAATTTTAAAGACAAGTTAGTTTTTTTCACATAATTCCACCCCTTCCCCCCAATTTGTCATGACTCCAGGGCAGAGTTAAGGTTGTTTGGTGAATTTACTGGTTTTGTAATGCTAGGTTTTGAGATCACTATCACGTCTTCTTAAGCCACAGGTTGTTTAATCCTTAATGACTGAGGTATCTTTTCAACCTTAACTTCCTCTTAATATATTTTTTTGTTGGGGAATTTCCCTAATTTAAAAAATATATCATAGAGGAACACTAAATAAGAAACACAAAGAGAATGCTACCATGTATTTCTAAGGGCTTGCAGATATATGGCACCCATCTTCAATCGTTTTTTTCAAAAATTAAACTTTTAAGGGTGGATTTACTGTGATACCCAACCAATGCAAAGCAGCCAGAGGGCACTAGGCAGTTCACCTAAGTCAGCCGTGGCCAACCCGCGGCTTGTGAACCACATGTAGCTCTTGCCCCCCAAAAGTACAGCTTGCGAAGCTGCTCCTGCACCCCCCCAAACTGTCCCTGCCCCCTGTTAGAGCCCCTCCAACCCCCGGTTTCCCTGTGCTTACCAGGTCGGAGCTGTGGGGTTTTAAAAAAATGGTGCCCAAGATGGCGGCCGTCTTAAAGGGGCAGCATCCTTACAAAACATTTTTAAAAATTTTTTTGGTTTTGCCCGACAATTCTGGTGCGGCTCTTCTCATTTTTTCTGCTGCGGTTTTGGCTCTCTTTGTTAAATGGGTTGGCCACCCCCTGACCTAGGTTGAGAACTGTGCTGCACTGCTAAAGAAGCACAAATCAACCAAAACAGACTGGCTGTTAGTTGGCTACTAACTTAGTGGTTTAGAAGCGTGTGTTCGTGAGACCAGCAATATGCTTTGTGAGGGAGCAGGGAGAGAAAGACCCCAGGCCTGGAGTCCCAATATCTTTTGTTTTTAAGGACTTCCCCTTTGTTTCCCCTCTAGTTCCCTTGGCAGTGCTCGCTCAGTGGAGCCAAGCGGCAGGGCCAATCGGGAGCTTTACAAACACTAATGCCCAAACAAGGGTGCAGAGGCTGGCTAATCGCCTCTTCAAAGCCAGCCCCGGCAGGTGCAGAGCAGAGGAAAAACTGAAATACTGCAACTGGCTCTAGCAAATGGATTAGAAGTTGCTGCTTGGAATCTTTGAAGAAAATGCCAGTTGGGTCAAACCATCCATCTTGCCACATGTGTCCAATCACCCTAGTACTACTGAGTTACTTCAGCCAATAGAACTGTTCTTTGCAAATCAGCTGGCAAGGAAGAGTGGCGATTGGTGCTCTACTCTGCTAAGATCACTCAGGACGGAGAAAAGACTCATGCCAACACTAATTTCTTAAAGGACCCAGTTTGAATGCCTCATTCTAGGAATGAATGGACATGTAAATGACCTAAAACCTCCTTCTGTACTCAAAGAGCAAGTGGAGTCAGACTGGAGAGGACACACACTTATTTTGTATACAAAGCAAAGAGGCTGAATCCCCTACTTTAATGCAAAATGGAACTTAGCCTGAACTATGGAACTGATCAGCGCCTCCATGGTTAGCACATGAAAATGATTCCAGATTCTGGCTGTGTCTGTAAAAACGAAATTTTCTTTGATTGCCTCAGTCCTTGCACAGACATCTTCCCAGGCTTTGGCTGGGGAAGGAGGGGACGGGATAGATTTTGTGTGTTTTTAAGCATTCCTTAATGAAACTATTTTATGCAATAGGACTGGGGGTGCTTGGGGTCTTGACAAAAATCTTAATAAAGTGAAGCTTTGTTGTAAAGTACAAGAATCTTACTGTACTTTGTATCAGGAAAGCTTGCGAGGGCTACTTTAATAAACAGAATTTCATGTACAAAGTGTTGAGATGAATGACAGAATATTTAGGTAGTGACATGTTGGCTGCAGATTGTATGTTGGCTTTTAGTTGTTCCGTGGTCATGACTGTATGAACCTTCAGCGATGAAAGCCGGCTTGAGTTTTTAGTCAGGGTAAGGACCGTCATGAAAAAGGATCCCAAATAAAGATTAGTCTCTTCTAGTAAGGTTTGTGTCTCTGTGAGCCCACTGGTATGTGAGACCAGATCGGGTAAGATTGTTAAAGTTTAGGTTTGAACATGACATACAAGTAGTTCAGGAAATAATGTCGTTTACTTATTTGGTGGCACATACAGTAAACTTCCGATAATCCGGCACCTTTAGGACCCAGGGGGTGCCGGATTATCAGATATGCCGGACTATCGGAACGGGGGGCTATGAGGGGTCTGGAGTGGGGTGGGAGGGGATGCCACC